AATTTTGGCTTATGAAAATTATTAAAAATAAAAATATGAGTGGGAAAACCGATCAAACTCCAAAAACATCCAAAAAAGAAAACAATGTTTTGATGTTGACGGCTTAAAATGAAAGCTAAATTATGTTCCCTATTTATTGCAATGACATACTTTTTCAAAAATAGTATTCTAATTTATAATATTTCGAGAATTTTTCAAAAATTTTCATATCGTAAAAGAGGAGAGATTTTTTTTTAAATGCATGTAGATTTTTTTATTTCAGCTGTTTGAGTGGTCACTTAGAATTCCCCTACATTTTTAGTATTTGTTGATTGAAATTTTCAAAAATTTGAAAAGAAATTTAAAATTTTTGACGAATACAATTTGGAAATTCAAAATTTTTGAGGTTATAAATTTTAACATTTTCAAATTTTCGGTGATGGTAATTCAGAACAGTTTAAAAAGGTAAAAAGTAGCCAAAATGCTTACGAAATAATTTAAATTTTGGCTTATGAAAAATTATTAAAAGTAAAAATATGAGTGGCAAAACGGATCGAACTCCAAAAACATCCAAAAAGGAAAACAATGTTTTGATGTTGAAGGCTTAAACTCAAAGGTGAATTAAGTTCCCAACTTATTGCAATGTCATATTTTTTCAAAAATACTATTTTGTTTTATAATATTTCAAGATTTTTTGAAAAGTTTCAGATCGTAAAAGAGAAGAGACTTTTTTTTAGATGCATGTATACTTTGTTATTTTAGCTGTTTGAGTGGTCACTTAGAATTCCCTTACAGTTTTAGTATTTATTGAAAGACATTTTTGAAAATTTCAAAAAAACTTCAAATTTTTGACGAATAGAATTTTGGAAATTAAAAATTTTTGTGGTCCTAAATTTAAACGTTTTAAAATTTTCGGTAATGGTGATTGGGAACAGTTTATTTATTGACGCAAAACGTATCCAAAATGCTTAGGAAATAGTTTAAAGTTTGCTTTATGAAAATTAGTAAACGTAAAAATATGAGCGGGAAAATCGATCGAACTCCAAAATCATCCAAAAAGGAAAACAATGTTTTGATGTTGATGGCTTAAAATGAAAAATTAATTAAGTTCCCAACTTATTGCAATGACATATTTTTTCAAAAATACTATTTTGATTTATATTTCGAGATTTTTTGAAAATTTTCAGATCGTGAAGGAGAAGGAATTTTTTATCTGCATGTATATTTTTTTATCTTAGCTGTTTGAGTGGTCACTTAGAATTCCCTTACAGTTTTAGTATTTATTGAAAGACATTTTTGGAAATTTCAAAAAAACTTCAAATTTTTGACGAATAGAATTTTGGAAATTAAAAATTTTCGTGGTTCTAAATTTAAACGTTTTAAAATTTTCGATAATGGTGATTGGGAACAGTTTATTTATTGACGCAAAAAGTATCCAAAATGCTTAGGAAATAGTTTAAAGTTTGCTTTATGAAAATTAGTAAACGTAAAAATATGAGGGGGAAAATCGATCGAACTCCAAAATCATCCAAAAAGGAAAACAATGTTTTGATGTTGATGGCTTAAAATGAAAAGTTAATTAAGTTCCCAACTTATTGCAATGACATATTTTTTCAAAAATACTATTTTGATTTATATTTCCAGATTTTTTGAAAATTTTCAGATCGTAAAAGAGAAGAGATTTCTTTTTAGATGAATGTATATTTTTTTATTTTAGCTGTTTGAGTGGTCACTTAGAATTCCCCTATAGTTTCAGTATTTATTGAATGAAACTTTTAAAAATTTCAAAAGAAACTTCAAATTTTTGACGAATAGAATTTTGGAAATTAAAAATTTTCGTGGTTCTAAATTTAAACGTTTTAAAATTTTCGGTGATGGTAATTCAGAACAGTTTAAAAAGGTAAAAAGTAGCCAAAATGCTTACGGAATAATTTAAATTTTGGCTTATGAAAATTATTAAAAGTAAAAATATGATTGGGAAAACCGATCAAACTCCAAAAACATCCAAAAAGGAAAACAATGTTTTGATGTATATTATTTAGATTTATATTTCGAGTTTTTTTGAAATTTTTCAGTTTTGTAAAACAACGGATTTTTTAGATACAGATATAATATATTTTTTTTACTTTAGATGTTTGAGTGGTTACTTAAAATTATCCTAGATTTCTAGTATTTATTAATTGAAATTTACAAAAAACTCAAGAGAAACTTCAAATTTTTGACGAATACATTTCGGAAATAAAAAATTTTCGGTGATAGTGATTAGGAACAATTTATTTATTGACGTAAAATGTAGCCAAAATGCTTACGAAATAGTTTAAAGTTTGCCTTATGGAAATTATTAAAAGTAAAACAACGTTTTGACCTTGGTAGCGTAAGATGAGAAGTGAATTAAATTCCCAGTTTATAATACGATATATTTTTCAAAAATATTTTTTTGGTATATATTTCGAGATGTTTTCAAAATTTTCAGATTATAAAAGAAAATAGTTCAAATAATTGAGGAATAAAATTTTGGAAATAAAAATTTTTTTGAAATTTAAAATTTATTCGTGTTGCTATTTAATAAAATTTACGTTACACTCATTTCAGATTTTTGTGGACACTTTCAGATTTTAAGTTTTTAGAAATTTAACAAAATCCTGCAAAATTTTGAATCTGAAGATCTAAATGTGAGACTTGGTTTTAAAATCTTTTGATTAACATTGTATTTTTTTTGATAAACTATTAGTTAGAATTTACCCCGAATTAATTTAAAAAACTTTTGTAGATATTTCTTGTAATAATAACATTGTCAAAATATACTCCATTAACACATTTTTTCAAAAAATTCATTTTCGATTTCGAATTTTTATTTGAAACTATTTTAATAATAATTGAGCAAACAATATATTTAGATTATTTTTTTTTATTTTAGACATTTCAGTCAGTTTAGAAATTTTCATTGTTCTAGAACATTTTAGAATTTCGAACATCCTTACTCTTTTGGAAATTTTTAAAATTTAAACTCCAACTGTAAAAACTTTTGAAAATTAAATTGTATTACATTTTCAGTATTTTAACTCATCATTTTAAATATATGTCTTGAAACCTGAACACAATAAAAATTAAAAAAAAAAATTAAAAAGCTAATTTTTCTCATTTCGTTCTTAAGGTTTTTTCAAACCTCGTTTTTGTAATGTTGAATTTTTGATTTGTTCTTTACTTTATATAAATTTAAAAATTCCGAACCGAAGTTTAAATTTTTTTTTTAATTCCAATTTTTTTGAATATCGAAAATTTTCTGCACTAATTTTACGGAGGCCTGGATATGTTTGTATATTTATTATTTCAAATATAGTGTATATTTCTGGTGTCTTTAATTTTTAAAAACAGTAGATATTCGAACGTTTCAACAACTGTAAGTTAACAAAAAAATTAAAAGCAAGATAATTTTGAATTTAATTGACAAATTTTTAGATTTCATACATTTTTGAGTTGGTCTTTATTTAATAATTTGTGTTTTTTTTATTCGAGTTATAAAATAAACATTAGTACTTGCTCAGATAAGACTGAGTTTTTACAAGATTAATAGGGGCAAAATCAGTTTTATCTTAACAAATACTAGGCTGGCCCACCCACCCCCTATTTTCGCAGAGGATATGTGATTTGCCAAAATCAGTCTAATCTTACCAAATACCAGGCCCCGCCCACCCACCCCTGTTTTCTCAGAGGATATGTGATTTGCCAAACTCAGTCTTATCTTACCAAGTACTAGCCCCGCCTCCCACCCCCTTTTTTGTCAGAGGATATGTCATTTGCCAAAATAAGACTTATCTTAGCAAGAACTACCCTCTGATAAAAAAATGTGTGTGTAGGGAGGGGGGGGGGGGCTAGTACTTGGTAAGATAAGACTGATTTTGGCAAATCACACATTGTCTGAGAAAATAGGGGGCGGGTGGGCGGGGCTAGTACTTGGTAAGATAAGACTGATTTTGGCAAATCACATATCACATGAGAAAATATGGGGCGGGTGGGCGGGCCTAGTATTTGTTAAAATAAAACCGATTTTTAATCTTGTAGAAACTTCCGAAATTTAAATGTGTTAAATTGCAAATTTCATAGTAACGAGTTAAATTCCTAAATCTACCCGATGATTCAGAACTTACTGAAATTTTTTAACATCCGTAAGTTTAAAATTATCAAACGTTGAGTTCAATATTTGAATCCTTAGGACACTTTTGAAACTAAAGTAACGTTTTTTATAGGAAATTTCTTTCTAATATTAAATTTTTTAATTTTTGTTTTCTCGACCTAGAAATTTTTTATGACGTTTCAAAAACTGTAGTTAAAATGAGTTTTACATGAGAACAATTAACTGTTTTGTTAAGTGTCTATTAAAAAACAGTTTAACCTTTATGATAAAGAATTTTTCATAATGTAACGTTTTAAAATGTTCTCCAAATGTTAAACAGATTAAAATTTACCGGAAATCTTAAAATTTGTAAAGTAAAATAGTCAATTTTTAAGTTACTTTTTAAACAATATTCAAGTTCTTTTAGAACCACCTAAATTAGCAACTTTGATATTTGGCAAAATTGAACACTTTAAATATTTACGAGTAATATTGGACCTGAAATTTGCAAAATTTGTATTATTTTGGCAATTTTCAAAAATTTCGTGAAACAGCGTGATATTTTGATCATTCGAAATTTTTAATTTAATTCAATAATTCCTAATTGTTGTTATCATGTTATCAACGCTTCTAAGAACTCCGTTGTGCAATCTCTAATACAAAGTGTAAAATTTGATTTTCCGAATTAATTTTTTTAAGATAACCCATATACCTACTTAAACTTGAAAGTCGGACTGTTCTGCAAATTTACTTTAGATTACAAGATTTTGTGATGACGTCGTCAATTTTTTCGAGATAGTGAACAAACATTACCATATTTCCCAGACGACAAATAACAAAACCGAGAAACTCGTATTTTCGCATTCCAGAAGCTGCGAATTTTATATACCAACTTTCGCATTTTCAGACGACTGGGAAATCCCCTTCGAACAAATCACAGACCTAACCTACCTCGGCTGCGGCGGCCAGGGCATCGTCTTCTCCGGCATGCTCAACAACCAGCCCGTCGCCGTCAAGAAGGTCCTCGACATCAAAGAAACCGACATCCGAAACCTGCGCAAACTCAACCACCCCAACATCGTCAAGTTCAAAGGGGTGTGCACGCAGCCCCCTTGCCTCAGCATCGTCATGGAGTTCTGCCCCTACGGCCCCCTCTCCGACCTCCTCAAGAAGCAGAAGAAGGTCGTCACCACCAATAGGGTGGTGTCGTGGGCCAAGCAGATCACCTCCGGGATGCACTATCTTCACTCGCAGAAGATAATTCACAGAGATTTGAAGAGTCCCAAGTAACTTAATCTAGTCTTAATCTAGTCTTTCTGTAATTTTGACTCTGATTTTTAGTGTTTTAATTGGGGAGGAAGAAGTGATCAAGATTAGCGATTTTGGTACTTCGAGGACCTGGAATGGGGTCAGCGAGAAGATGAGTTTCGCTGGGACTGTGGCGTGGATGGCGCCTGAAGCTATTAAGGAATTGGAGTGTTCGGAGAAGGTCGATATTTGGTCGTTTGGGGTGGTGTTGTGGGAGTTGTTGACGTGCGAGGTACCATATGATGGGATGGAACAGAGCGCTATCATGTATATGGTAGGGTGCGGGAAATTGAAGCCTCCGATTCCCAAGACTTGTCCAGATGGGTTTCGATTGATCATGGAGATGTGTTGGAAGCTTAACCCTAAAGAAAGGCCGTCGTTTAAGTTGATCCTGAACCATCTGCAAATTGCGTCTGTCGAGGTAATTTGGGGGCGGTTACTGTTGATTGAAACACTATAATCTGATTCATATACTTAGTTTCATTAATAAATCAATGAATATTGATTTTGCTGTGACTAACCACATTGTTATTTAGTTTGTAATTGATCACTTTTTAGATTCTCGGCAAATACGAAGACTCTCAATTCTTCGAAACTCAAGAAAGCTGGAAGGAAGAAATCAAATCTCAAATAACGCAATTCAAGGCGCAGCTGCAGAAGCACCGAATCGAGTTTCAGCTGAAAGAAGAGCAGCTAATCAAGAAGCGTGAAACTGAAATTAAGCACATTCGCGACATTCGGGAACTGTATGACCGGAAACTTGAAAAGGTTAACCAGTTGTACCTGGAACTGTCCGCTGTGTTGCAGCAAGTCGACCAGTATAATAGACAGGGTGGTCGGAAACGTGACATCCAGAATAAGAGGCGCTTGATTAATCCTTTTGTAAGGAAAATGGAGAGGAGGAGGAGCAATCATAGCACCACGCCCACGAGTCCGGAGTGTAGCCTCACTAGTCCCGATAGCCCCCAAACGGTAACTATTTTTTTTGACCACTCAAAGATGTGCAATTTATATAGTTTTAAATCAGTGGCTTAAATAATAAATAACAACGAACTCAATACAAATCCTTGTCTTACCCGAAAATTATTGTAACGGGTGTTCTTATAACATCCATTTGGCAGAAATATAACCTATTTTATGTTATATACGTATTATACGAACAGACATCCCATTTGTGTCAAATGATATTCCAATGTCTTCTCTGAGTGATTTTTCAACTGCACATCCCTTAGAATATGCTGAATTATTAGAGGAAGAAACCGGGAATTTTCCAGCCAATGCCTGAATCCAAATTTTATATATTTTTAAATGAAGTAAATTTTCCGCCTTTTAAAATTTCCCGCGCTTGTTCAACAGGTCCCATGCACTTTGGTTCACGCGATTCCGAGATTTTTTAAAACCATTTCAAAAACCAAATCCCCGAAATTCTGTGAATTTACTTAAAAAAAGCAAAAGGTGTCTTCGAGATTCTTGCAAACTACTTAAAAAATAACACAAGGAATCTCCGACATTCTTTCAAGCTACTTCAAAAATCAGGCACCAAAGGTCCTCGAGGTTCTTTCAGATTACTTCACAAACAAACTAAAAGGGGTCCCCGAGATTCTTTCAAATTACTTCAAAAACTAGATACAAAAGGTCTCCGATATTCTTTCAAATTACTTTAAAAACCAGGCACAAGAGGTCTCAGAGATTCTTTTAAACTACTTCACAACCAAAACAAAAGGTATCTCCGAGATTCTTTCAAGCCACTTCAAAAACTAGATACAAAAGGTCACTGAGATTCTTTCAAACTACTTCAAAAATAAAAAAAGGGGTCCCCGAGCTTCTTTCAGTCTACTTCACAACCAAAACAAAAGGTGTCTCCAAGATTCTTTCAAACTATTTCAAAACCAGACACAGGAGGTCAACGAAATTATTTCAAACTACTTCAAAAAAAAACGAATGTGGCCCCCGAGATTCTTTCAAACTACTTCAAAAACCAGACAAGGAGTTCCCTGAGATTCTTTCAAACTACTTCAAAAACTAGAGACAAAAGGTCCCCGAGATTCTTTCAAACTACTTCAAAAACCAGACAAGGAGGTCCCTGAGATTTTTTCAAACTACTTCAAAAACTAGAGACAAAAGGTCCCCGAGATTCTTTCAAACTATTTCAAAAACCAGACACAGGAGGTCAACGAAATTATTTCAGACTACTTCAAAAACAAAACGAATGTAGCCCCCGAGATTCTTTCAAACTACTTCAAAAACCAGACAAAGAGGTCCCTGAGATTCTTTCAAACTACTTCAAAAACTAGAGACAAAAGGTCCCCGAGATTCTTTCAAATTACTTCAAAACCAAAACAAAATAGGTCTCCGCTATTCTTTCAAACTACTTGAAAAACCAGGCACAAGTGGTCTCCAAGATTCTTTCAAATTACTTCAAAAACTAGACACAAAAGGTCCCCGAGATTCTTTCAAACTACTTCAAAAACCAGACAAAGAGGTCCCTGAGATTCTTTCAAACTACTTCAAAAACTAGAGACAAAAGGTCCCCGAGATTCTTTCAAACAACTTCAAAAACCAGACAAAGAGGTCCCTGAGATTTTTTCAAACTACTTCAAAAACTAGAGACAAAAGGTCCCCGAGATTCTTTCAAATTACTTCAAAATCAAAACAAAATAGGTCTCCGATATTCTTTCAAACTACTTCAAAAACAAAACGAAAGAGGCCCCCGAGATTCTATCAAACTTCGCCACAACCAAAACAAAAGTTGTCTCCGAGATTTCTTCAAACTACTTCAAAAGGTAGATACAAAAAGCCCCCAAGATTCTTTCAAACTACTTCAAAAACAACAAAAGGGGTCTCCGAGATTCTTTCAGACTACTTCACAACCAAAACAAAAGGTGTCTCCAAGATTCTTTCAAATTACTTCAAAAACTTGACCCAAAAGGTCCCCGAGATTCTTTCAAACTACTTCAAAAACCAGACAAAGAGGTCCCTGAGATTCTTTCAAACTACTTCAAAAACTAGAGACAAAAGGTCCCCGAGATTCTTTCAAACAACTTCAAAAACCAGACAAAGAGGTCCCTGAGATTTTTTCAAACTACTTCAAAAACTAGAGACAAAAGGTCCCCGAGATTCTTTCAAATTACTTCAAAATCAAAACAAAATAGGTCTCCGATATTCTTTCAAACTACTTCAAAAACAAAACGAAAGAGGCCCCCGAGATTCTATCAAACTTCGCCACAACCAAAACAAAAGTTGTCTCCGAGATTTCTTCAAACTACTTCAAAAACTAGATACAAAAAGCCCCCAAGATTCTTTCAAACTACTTCAAAAACAACAAAAGGGGTCTCCGAGATTCTTTCAGACTACTTCACAACCAAAACAAAAGGTGTCTCCAAGATTCTTTCAAACTATTTCAACAACCAGACACAGGAGGTCAACGAAATTATTTCAAACTATTTCAAAAACAAAACAAATGTGGTCCCCGAGATTCTTTCAAACTACTTCAAAAACCAGACAAAGAGGTCCCCGAGATTCTTTCAAACTACTTCAAAAACAAAACGAAAGGGGCCCCCGAGATTCTGTCAAACTTCTTCACAACCAAAACAAAAGTTGTCTCCGAGATTCCTTCAAACTACTTCAAAAACCAAAGAAAAGGGGCCCCCGAGATTCTTTCAAGCTACTTCAAAAACTAGACACAAAAGGGCCCCGAAATTCTTTCAAGTTACTTCAAAAACAAAACAAAAGTGCTTCCCGAGATTTTTTTTAAACCACTTCAAAAGCAAGAGAAGGAATTTCCGAAATTCTTTCAAAGTACTTTAAAAATAAACTACAAGGGATTCCCAGATTATTGCAAATTACTTTAAAAATAGGACAAGAGACCCCAAATTTTTTTCAAACTACTTCAAAAACAAAACAACAGGAAAAGTGAACAATATAATTAGATTATTTTTTATTTTAGACATTTCAGAGTCTTATTTAAAACACTTTTATTATTCTACAACATTTTAGAATTTTCAGCTTTCTCAATCTTTGGAAATTTCAACGTTTTGGTGACTTTTCTTTTCAAATTCTAATAAAAAATTTCGGATATTAACAGTTTTTGAAATAATAAATTTTAACTTTGGGTTAACATTTTTTATGTGTCTTTGCGTTTTTTCAATTTAATGCAAATTGTGATTCTAGCTTCATCTATATCTAACTTTAATATGGAAATAAAAAAAATGACATTCTAAGTATTTGAATTTCCATCATTTTAAGCATCTTGAAATCTAAGCACGAAAAACGATTTAAAAAATTTAAATTTTTTTCACTGTTGATTTGTTCTTAATGTTTTTCAAAACCACATTTTTGAAATGTTGAGCTTTTGATTAGATTAGATTTTTTTTTATTTTTTATAAGCCGATTTTTTTTAGTATCGAAAATTTTCTGCACTAAATTTATATAATCAGTTTAGACATGATTGGACATTTGTTATTTAATATTTCAAATGTTGTATATATTCCTGGCAAAAAGCAAGGAAATTTTGAACAATACTTAATTTTAAGTTCACACAATACCGATAAATTTTATAATTTACAAATTTTTGGATTTGATAAATTTTCTTTCACATTATTTAAAAAGCAAGACAAGGGATCCTCAAGAGTTTTACAAATTACTTCAAAAACAAAGCAACAGGAGTCCCCGATATACTTTCAACTACTGCAAAAACCAGGTTCCCGAATTCTTTTAAATTACTTCAAAAATAAGACAAGGGATCTCAAGATTCTTTCAAATTACTTCAAAAACAGTACAAGGTATCTCTGAGATTCTTGCAAATTACTTCTAAAAGAAGACAACTATACCCAAAATTTTTGCAAATTACTTCAAAAACCAGATCCCCAAAATTCTTTCAAACTACTTCAAAACGACTCTCTGAGATTCTGTTAAACGACTTCCAAAACAATACAAAGGTGTTTTTCGACATTCTTTCAAATTACTTCAAAAACCCAAATTTGAGCCGTAATGAAAGTCGGTTTCTAAAAATTTTTAGTTAGACTTGGTTCCCATTCTCAGTATTTTAACTTCCATCATTTTGAACATATTGAAATCTGAGCACGAAAAAAGCTTTAAAAAATTTAAAAGCTAGTTTTTTTCAATGTTAATTTTGTGTAGATCTGGACATGTTTGTATATTTATTAATTTTTTAATGTCAAACATTCCATATCTGGCGTTTTTAGTTGACATTTGAACGTTTCACCAAATAAAAATAATTAAAAGTAGGGGAATTTTGAACAATATTTAATTTTTAACTCACGCAATACCGATGATTTTACAATTTTTTAGTTCAAAAACAAGACTTGGTATCACCAAGATTCTTTCAAACTACTTCAAAAATATAGCAAAAAGGATCCCCCCGATTATTTCAAGCTACTTCAAAAACAAACCAATTCCCGAGATTGTTTCACATTACTTAAAAAACAAGAAAAGAAATCACCAAGAGTTTTTCAAACTACTTCAAAACAAAAGAAGTCCCCGAGACACTTTCAAACTACTTCAAAAAATAAACAAGATGGGTCCCCGGGACTCTTTCAAAACTACTTTAAAAACCAAATCCCCAAAATTCTTTCAAACCACTTTAAAAATAAAACAAAAGGGGTCTTCGAGATTCTTTCAAAGTACTTCAATAAACAAAAGGGGTTCCCAAGATTATTTTAAACTACTTCAAAAACCTAACAACAGGAAAAAGAACAATATATTTACATTTTTTTTTTTTTTTAGATATTTCACAGACTCTTTAGAGCACTTTTGTTATTCGAGAACATTTTAGAATATTCAGATTTCTTAATCTTTGGAAATTTCAACGTTTTGGGGGCTTTTATCTTTAAATTCTAATTGTAAAAGCTTTGTATTTTTTTTTTCACGTTATAAAAATTTTAAGGCTTAAGGCTTCTAAGTTCTTATTTGTTTTTCTTTAATCCGTTTTTCTTTTTAATTTATTGTAGAGCTCTAGTTTTTAAAAACAGTAAACATTCGAACGTTTCACCAAATCTGTAAAATTTTCTATAAGTCGAAAAAAATTTTGAAAGCAATAACATTTTTAACAACATCGATGAATTTTACAATTTACAAATTTTTGGATTTGACAAATTTTTTACTTCAAAAACAAGACAAGGGATCTCCGAAATTTTTCAAATTACTTCACGGGCTGAAACCATCTGGAAATATATTTTTAAATGAAGGCGCGGTCCTAAATTTTTTCCACCCCTGCGATTTATCTTATCAGAAAGACCGGATTTTGATAAACAAAACATTTTTATCGATGAGTGCATTTTATAAGTTATTTTTATTATTTGTCCGATCTGCATTAACCACTGTAATTTATATTAATAGCACCAGATCATCGATATCAATTATCACAGATTATTCATTGTGATGACACAACAAAAATCCCCCCGACACCTCGTCCCTATCAGTCCTCAAACCTGCAGTTCGATTTAGATACAAACCCGATAAACACGGCAAAGTTGTACCACTCGAAAAACATCAAGTTACTGTTTAAAACCCAGTGGTAAATAAAAATCGTGTTCCAGACCCCCGCGAAGGCGCCGCTCTTCGCCAAACTCAACACCTCCACCAACAACGCCGAGTCCGTGACGCAGTCCAACCCCAAGTTCCGCAAGAGGCACTACCGGACGAACTCGGGCTCTCCCCGGAACTCGGCTTCGAAGAGCTCTTCCTGCAGGAGTTCGTGCGTCGTGGACGCCGAAACCCAAACTGACTCGATGGATCTCAGCGAAACCGAACTCAGCCCCACCTACGACCTGCCGTCGAGCATTTCCTCGAAGAAAGTACCCCAGAGAGTCATCCTTCGTGAAATTAAGAACGAATCGGACGACGAGGGGTATAATGGGAATTCGATACAGCTGCGGTACGTCAACGACTGCGAAGATTCAGGTGAGTACCAAGAGATGGTAAAAAGACGTTTTTTATTAAATGGGTTGTTTTTTTTTGTTTTAAGTCGTTTTTTTTTTTTGGTTTTGTTTTTACTTTCCGAACGAAAGCTAAGTTTTCTCGACTTTCATGATCCCTAGAGTACGAAAAAATATGTTTCCCGTTTCCGTCTGTTTGTCTGTTTGCCGTCCCTCCGGATTTTTATTAGACACAATTTTTGAAATTGCTGGACCGATAGTGTATACATGTATCAAAATTTATTCGTTTATCACCTACCAAAAAATTAATAAAACCTCTCCTAAATATGAAAAATCTTGTGACTATACTTGTGGTTTATCAATGCACCCATTGTTTTTAGAGTTTTATACAGGGTAACGCGAAAAAAAAAATGCATGACGCACTCTATTGTATTGATAAAATCAAGAACGACTCACTAGATTTTTATCATAAAAATTTCAATTCGCAAAATCAAATCTTATTTATTACAATTTTTCATTTTTAGATTTTTCAATTTTTTGTTTCCTCAAGTTCTTGATTTTTATTTTTCATTATCTCGATTTTATGTCACAATTTTTCGTTCTTTTATTTCTTTTATATTTACAATGTTTTTTCGATTTTATAATTTTTCGTTTATTCAATTCTCCCAATTTTCAGTCTTTGATTTTTCTATTCCTCATTTTTTAAATTTTTGAATTTTGCAGTTTTTGGATTTCTTAATTATCCAATTTTCCGATTTCGTTAATTTTTTATACTTCAATTTTAGTTTCGTTTTTTCGATTTTGTGGTTTTTCGTTTCTTCAATTTGATTTCCAATTTTCAGATTTTTCAAAGATTTCATTTTATATTTCTTCGTTATACTTTTGCGTTTTTTCATTGTTGCTTTTTTAGTGTTACAATTTTTTCTTTTTTTTTTATTTGAAATGTGGAAAAATCGAAAAATTAAAAATCAAAAAACTAAAAAATCGGAAAAATGAAAAAATCCACTGAAGAAGTGAAGGAACGAATCAATTGGAAAGGGGACAAAACAAGTAAAAATTATGATTATTATAGCATACATATTCAAAATGAAAATAAGAAAAACCGAAAAATGGAATACCGAAAAATTGCAAATCGAAAAATTGAAAAATTTAACATTAAAAAAGAATAATTAGAAACTCAGGACAATAAAAAATCGAAAAATTGAACAAAATAGAGAAAATAAAAAACCAAAACAAAAAATTGAGAAATATAAAAACTGGATAATTAAAAATGGAAAACTCCTGAAATTGTAAACCGAAAAATTGGAAAATCTAAAAATTGAAACATCCAGAAGTTGGAAAATTGGGGGAAACTGAAAAATTTAAAAATGAAAACTAGAAGAGATGCTGCTGCATATCGTAAACTAGAAGAAACAACAAAAATAAAAAATTGAAAAAATGCAAATAAAATAATCGAAGAAACAAGATTTAAAAAATTTTGTTTTTCCAAAAAATAATAAAATCCGAACATTGAAAAATTGGAGAAATGAGAAACTGAAAACTATAAAATTTCAAAAACTGAAAATTGAAAACTCGTGAAATTACAAATCATAAATTGCAAAATTTAAAACTGAAACATCCAAAATTTGGAAAATCGGAAAAATTTAAAAATTAAAATCGTAAGAAGAAAAAATCGAAAGAAGAAACAAAAAGAATCGAAAAATTGTAAAAGTATGGGAAATCAAGCACGAAACCAAAAATTGCAAATCGAAAATTTGAAGAAATGAAAAATTAAAAAATTTAAAAATTGAAAAATTAAAAATTAAGATCTCGAAAAATTTTAAATCGAAAAGTTGCAAAATCCAAAAATTGAAATATGTAAAAGTTGGGCAATGGAAAAACTAAAAAATTTCAAAAAGAAAATTTGAAAAATTTTAATTCGAAAAATTGTAAAATCTAAACATTGAAGAAGCAAAAAAATGAAAAATTGAAAAATCGAAAATCGATAAATTGAAGAAACAAAAAAGTAAAAAAATTCAAATTGAAAAAACACAAGAACACATAAAATCGGAACAATGAAAAATCAAATCGAAAAATTGTAAAAGTAAAAAAAAAGAAAAATTCGAAAAGAAAAAGTGAAAATCGATAATTTGGGGAAATAAAAAATAGAAAAACTGAAATTGAAAAAACAAAGGAACTATAAAATCGGAAAAATCGAAAATTTGTAAAAATAGTGAAAATAAAAAACGAAACCAAAAATTTCAAATCAAAAATTTGAAGAACTTAAAAATTAAAGAATTTAGAAATTGAAAAATTTACAATTGAAAGGTCGAAAAATTTTAAATCGAAAAGTTGCAAAATCCAAATATTTATGAAAAAAAAAATTAAAAAACTTAAAAATCTGTAATCGAAAAATTGAAAACTAGAAAAATAGAGAAAACAAAAAAATACAACATACAAAAATCTAAAATCAAAAGTTGAAGAAACGAAAAATTGAAAAAGTGGAAATTGAAAAAACTGAAGATTAAAAAATCGGAACGTTGTAAGAAAAGAAAAATTCGAAAAGAAAAATTGAAAATTAATAATTTGAGGAAATGAAAAAAAGAAAAAAATTAAAATTGAAAAAACAAAAAAAGATAAAATCAGAAAAATCGAAAAAAAATAGAGACAAATAAACAACTAAAAAAATTTGAAATCGGAAAGTTGCAAAATCTAAAAATTAAAACATGAAAAAGTTGGAAACTGGCAAAACTGAAAATTTTCACAATGAAAACTCAAAAAATTTTGAATCGAAAAACTGAAAAATCGCAAATTAAACAATTGAAGAAAAAAAATTGAAAAAAATGAAATTGCAAAAACTTAAAATTATATCAGAACATTGAAAGATCGAAAAATTATAAAAATAAAGAAAATAAAAAGCCGAAACAAAAAATTGAAAATCGATAATTTGAAGAAATGAAAAATTGAAAAATAAAAATCGGATAAATCGAAAAATTGTAAAAATAAAAAACAAAGAACCGAAACCAAAAACTGTAATCAGAAAATTTGAAGAAATAAAAATTAAAAATGGAAAACTCGAGAAACTTAAAACCGAAAAATTGAAAGAAAAATTGAAAAATTGAAAAATCTTTGGTCGAAAAATTGAAAAATTAAAAATTGGAAACGCCAAAAATTTAAGAAACGAAAAATTGATAAAATGAGGTCAATTGAAAAATTGTAAAAATAAAAAAACAACCGAAACCAAAAATTGTAAACAGAAAATTCGACGAAATGAAAAATAAAAATTGAAAAATTGAAGAAATGAAAAATTGAAAAAGTGGAAATTGAAAACTGGAGAAATTTTAAATCGAAAAACTGAAAAATCTAAATCAAAAATTGAAGAAACGAAAAATTAAAAAAGTGGAAATTGTAAAAATAAAGAAAAAAAAATCCGGAAAGAAAAATTGGAAATCAATAATTTGAGGAAACGATAAATTGAAAAACAATAAAATTGAAAAAATAAAAAATGATAAAATCAGAAAAATCGAAAAATTGTAAAAATAGAGAAAAAGAAAGAACTAAACCAAAAATTTCAAATCATTTGAAGAAATGAATAATTAAAAAATCTAAAAATTGAAAAGTTAAAAATTGAGATCTCCAGAAATTTTAAGTCGAAAAGTTGCAACATGTAAAAATTGAAAAATCTTTAAACGAAAAATTAAAGAATCGAAAAATTAAAAAATTAAAAATTGAAAACGCCAGAAATTTTAAACCTTTAAAAATTGAGGAAACAATAAAATTAAAAATTTAAAAATCTAAAATCGAAAAATTGGAGATGAAAAACCAAAAAAAACCAAAACATTAAAACATCGAATAATTGAAAAAATAAAGAAAAGGAAAAAAAATTGCAAATTGAAAAATTAAAAAATTAAATACTGAAAACTCGTGAAATTCCAAATCGAAAAGTTGCAAAATCTCAATAACTAAAACATGAAAAAGTTTGGAAATGGCAAAACTGAAAATTCTAACAATGAAAACTCAAAAAATTTTAAATCGAAAAACTGAAAAATCGCAAATTAAAAAATTGAAGAAAAAAAAATTGAAGAAACGGAAAATTGATAAAATCGGATAAATTGAAAAATTGTAAAAATAAAAAACAAAGAACCGAAACCAAAAATTGTAAACAGAAAATTTGAAGAAATAAAAAATAAAAATGGAATACTCGAGAAATTTAAAAGCAAAAATTGAAAAATCGAAAAATTGAAAAAAAAAATGAAAAATGGAACAAACGTAAAATTAAAAAAAAACAAAACATTAAAAAATCGATTAATTGAAAAAATAAAGAAAATATAAAACGAAACGAAAAATTGCAAATTGAAAAATGAAAGATTGAAAACTCCTGAAATTTCAAATTAAAACATGAAAAAGTTGGTAAATGAAAAACTGAAAATTTTAACAATGAAAACAAACAAATCATATCAGAACACTGAAAAATCGAAAAATTGTAAAAGTAAAGATAATAAAAAGCCGAAACAAAAATTAAAAATCGATGATTTGAAGAAATGAAAAATTGAAAAATATGAAATTTGAAAAATTAAAAACTGAAAACTTGTGAAATTGCAAATCGAAAAATTGATAAAATCGAGTAAATCGAAAAATTCTAAAAATAAAAAAACAAATATCGAAACCAAAAATTGTAAACAGAAATTTTGACGAAATAAAAATTGAAAACTCGAGAAATTTTAAATCGAAAAATTCAGAAAATCGCAAATCGAAAAATTGAAGAAATGAAAAATTGAAAAAGTAGAAATTGAAAAAATAAAAAAATATAAAATCAGACATTGAAAAATCGAATCATTGAAAAGATAAAGAAAACATAAAATCAAAAGGAAAAATTGAAAAATTAGAAACTGAAAACTCCTGAAATTGCAAATTCAAAAATTGCAAAATCTGAACACTGAAGAAGCAAAAACGATGAAAAATTGAAAAATAGCAAATCAAAAAATTGAAGAAACGAAAAAGTAAATAAGTTCAAATTGAAAAAACAGAAGAATATAAAATCGGAACGTTGAAGAATTTAATCGAACAATTGTGAAAATAAAGAAAACAAAAATCAGAAAAGAAAAATTGAAAATCGAAAATTTGAAGAAATGAAAAATTGAAAAAAATTGAAACTGAAAAATCGAAGAAATCATAAAATCCGAAGAATCGAAAAATTGTAAAAATACAGAAAATAAAGAACAAAAAATTGAAACATAAAAAATTGAGATTTAGATATATTTTAAATCGAAATGAAGAAAAAAAATCGAAAAATTCAAAAATCTTTAATCGAAAAATTGAAAACTGAAGAAGTTTTAAATCGCAAAATTACAAAAATTGGAGAAACAAAAAAAAATTAAAAATTGAAAAATCTAAAATCGAAAAATTAAAAAATGGAATCATTGAAAAAGTAAAGAAAATATAAAATCGAAACAAAAAATTGCAAATAGAAAAATTGAAAAATTAAAAATTGAAATCTCGTGAAACAGCAAAATAAAAAAAATGAAACATCCAAAAGTTGTGAATTAGAAAAACTGAAAAATTTATAAAAATAAATGTATTTCATTAATTTGCATTAATTTACAAACACGTCTCATGTTTTAGTAGAATTAAAACAAGCCGTTTTTTATTCACTGAGTGCTTTCGACCAAAGCTGACCACATTCCCGGTTACAGAAATTCAAGTCTTCAGCCGGCTGCACCCGGACGCCATCATCACCGACCTCTACGACCAAGAGGACACCTTAAACCGGAACGACACCACCTGCCGGGAATCCAGCGACGAGGACCACCTCGAGACCATCGGCAGGAAGGTCTCTGCGCTGCGGAACGGCAACATCTTCCCCGACATCCAGATCGCCACGGAGAACGGGAACGTGACGACCGACCTCAGCGAGGTCCTCCGGGCCAAGACGTGCAACGGCCAGGACAGCACGGAAGACGCGTGCAATGACAGCTTCACCGACGAGGAAGGGGAGGTCTACAATTCTTTGAGAAGAAGAAGGTAATGCCGGACTCACTAATAAATCACCACTGTTTATGCGATTAGTCGTTGTAAAACCAGCAAAAATTGCCACGAATGTGGAAGAGTTAATTCAGTAATTCCGCGGTTTATTTATGCCGGTGGTAACATCTGGCAGACGACAAGAAGTTGGCTTTACTCGAAATACTTGGGGTTTGAATGTCAGCGCTTGTGGCGCGTGCAGGCTGAGGTTATTATTTTGGGTTTGTTTATTAATCAGTGTCGGGGGGTTTGAAGAAGCGACGCGGTTGTTGATTTTGGGAAAATAAAAGGACGCGGTAATGCTGGGGATTACGGTGGGTATTTTTGGCAAATTCATCAAAGGAGAATTGGTTGATTGTTGGTGTTGTAAGGCGGTACAAAGCCCTGCGTCAGGTTCGCGGATTTCGTAACAGGCGGAATGAGTAATGGGTCTAAAAGCGTTTTAATTTTTTTTAGTCACGCATTTTATTCGTGTTTTCATTTACTTACGTATAACTGGGATCAGAAGTTTCTTGGAAGCAATTTGCATTTATTAAGTAGGTAAACACGTAAAAAGTGACTTCATCCGGATTTTTTCAAAGAAAATATGTAATTGTTATTCCAATTTTTCAGTGAGGTGTATTTTCTTGGTTCTGTTTTGTGTACTTTAAAAATTGTCTTTGAAATTTAACACCCAAAATATTTTTCTTTTATTGCTCTCCTCGTATTGAACACCTCTGTTCTATTTAGATGACTAGTGTCAAAATTTTTTTTTTCATAATTTTTTTTTCTTTAATTTTTTTTTACAAAAAAATTCTAAAAGTTCAGCATGAAAAGACGGCTATGTATATTAAGAAAAAAAAGGCAAAATATATTCCCCACCCACCCACCCTATTTTAATTCTGATGATTTTTTTAATTCTCTTAAAGTCCAAGAGTGAGCTCTGATATTTTGAAGGGTGCGAGAATTTGTAACAGTTCCCTTCTGCTTCACCAATTGTAAAATTCATATTTCCTTACAAAAAAAAATACCATTTTAAACGTGTTTTGAGTTTCTAAGAATAAAAAAATCATCACAATTGAGATAGGGTGGGTGGGCCCTTTTCTCTTAATATACATAGTATTCTTTGTACAATACGATACCTCAATACATGTTGTTAATTTCTTGTAAGGAAATAAGTATTTTGCAGTTAAGCTCCGCCCTCTTGCTTCACGGCGAATAAAAAAAATCATCACAATTGCGATAGGGCGGGTGGGCGGGCTTACTTTTTGCCTTTTTGTTTTTAATGTATGCGTGGACTTCTTTTCACAACATGAAACTTAAAACATGAAAAAATGGAAAATTTGTATAAGAAAATATTGATTTTGCAATTAAACTCCGCCCCATAAATGTAAAATTCATATGTCCTTGCAAAAATGTACCATTTTAACCATATTTTACTTGTTGTGAAAAGACGGCCATGTGTATTAAGAAAAAAAAATGAAAAATATATTCCCCGCCCACCCACCCTATCTTAATTCTGATGCTTTATTTATTCCCTTAACTCTAAGACTGAGCTCTGATATTTTGAAGGGTGCGAGAATTCGTAACAATTCCCTTCTGCTTCACACAGTCAAATTTACCTTTAAGTTTAAATTATAATATAGTTCTGTTTCCATATAAATCTCATCAACTTTCTTAGAATCATATGGCATTACTTACACACAGTTTTTTGTTTATTTTTGAAACGAAAAAATTATGAAAGTTCAAAAAAATAGAGTTAGCCCTGATATCCTGAAGGATGAAGATCATCGCAGCAGTTCCCCTCTGCTTCACACAATTGCAAAAACCATATTTCCTTACAAAAATTTACCATTTTAAACGTGTTTTGAGTTTCTAAGAATAAAAAAATCATCACAATTGAGATGGGGTGGGTGGGCGGGGTTAATATTTTGCTCTTTTTTCTTAATGTACATAGTATTCTTTGAACAACACGATACCCAAAAAGATGTTTTTAATTTCTTGTAAGGAAATTTTGCAGTCAGCTCCGCCCTTCTGCTTCACGGCGAATAAAATAATCATCACAATTGAGATAGGGTGGGTGGGCGGGGCTTATATTTTGCCTTTTTCTTTTCTTAACATACATAGATATCCATCTGTTCACAACATGAAACTTAAAATATTTCCTTGCAAAAATGTACCATTTTAACCATATTTCACTTGTTGTGAAAAGACGGCTATGTATATTAAGAATAACAAGGCAAAATATAATCCCCGCCCACCCACCCTATTTTAATTCCGATGATTTTTTTATTTTTTATTCACATTCGAATTTAACTTTAAGTTTTTAAATTATAATATAGTTCTGTTTCCTTATGAATCTTCTTAGAATCAAACTCGTTATTTGACCTTCCATTTTGTCTCGTGATATCATTATTATAATTATGAAAAATCTAAGATTGAAAAATTGAAAAAATTGTGATTAAAAAAACAAAACATGAAAAATTAAAGATTGAAAACTCGTGAAATTCCAAATCAAAAAACTGCGTAATCTAAAAATTAAAACGTGAAAAATTTAGAAAATGGAAAAACTGAAAAATTTTAAAATGAAAACTCGAGAAAAATTGCAAGATCTAAACATTGAAAAACAAAAAAATGAAAAATTGAAAAATCTCAATAAATGGAAGAAACTAAAAATTAAAAGAATTGAAACTGAAAAAACAAAAAAATATAAAAAGAGAACTTTGAAAAATCGAAAAATTGTAAATATAAAGAAAATGAAAAATTAACAAATATAAAGATAGAAAAATTAAAAATTAAAAACTTGTGAAATTGCAATTGAAATCGAAAAATTGCAAAATCTAAAAATTGAGAAATTAAAAAGTTGGAAAATTTGAAAACTGAGAAATTTAAATTTGAAAACTGGAAAAATTGGAAAACTGATAAATTTAAATTTGAAAACTGGAAAAATTGTAAAAAAATACGTTTCAGAGAAAAAAAAAATAGTACCATTTTAACAATGTTTTAAATTTCTTGTTGTGGAAAGACGGCTATGTATATTAAGAAAAACAAAGAACAATATAATCCCCGCCCACCCACCCTATCTTAATTCTGATGATTTTTTTATTCCCTTAAACTCCAAGAGTGAGCTCTGATATTTTGAAGGGTGCAAGAATTGGTAACAGTCCCGTCTGCTTCACACAGTCGAATTTAGCTTTAAGTTTTGTAGCCCTAAATTATAATATAGTTCTATTTCCTTATAAATCTTGTTAACCTTCTTAGAATCAAACTGTTATCTGACCTTGCATCTTGTGTCGTAATATCATTATTATAATTATGAATTATTTGGCATTTATAAGACAAATATTTCTCCTAGTAAAATTTTTTTGTTTTTTTTTTGAGACGGAAATCTGAAAGTTTGGATTGTGATATTTTAAAGACTAACTATATATAATACAAAAATATATTTTGGCTTTTTTCCTAATATACATAGTAATCTTTCAACAACCGGATACTCAAAAACATGTTTTTAATTTCTTGTAAAGAAACAAGTATTTTGCAGTTAAGCTCCGCCCTCTTAGCTCACGGCGAATAAAAAAAAATCGTCACGAATGAGATCGGGTGGGTGGGCGGGCTTACTTTTTGGCTTTTTGTTTTTAGTATGTGCGTAGACTTCTTTTCATAACATGAAACTTAAAACATGTTTAAATTAGACTCCGCCCCATAATTGCAAAATCCATATTTCCTTCCAAAAATGTACCATTTTAACCATATTTCACTTGTTGTGAAAAGACGGCTATGTATATTAAGAACAAAAAGGCAAAATATAATCCCCGCCCACCCACCCTGTCTTAATTCTGATGATTTTTGCTTATGCTCTTAAACTCCAAGTGGGCTCTGATATTTTGAAGGGTGCGAGAATTTGTAACAGTTCCCTTCTGCTTCACCAATTGTAAAATTCATATTTCCTTACAAAAAAATACCATTTTAAACGTGTTTTGAGTTTATAAGAATAAAAAAATCATCACAATTGAGATAGGGTGGGTGGACGGGGTTTATATTTTGCCCTTTTCTCTTAATATACATAGTATTCTTTGTACAATACGATACCTCAATACATGTTGTTAATTTCTTGTAAGGAAATAAGTATTTTGCAGTTAAGCTCCGCCCTTTTGCTTCACGGCGAATAAAAAAAATCATCACAATTGCGATAGGGCGGGCGGGCGGGCTTACTTTTTGCCTTTTTGTTTTTAATGTATGCGAAGACTTCTTTTCACAACATGAAACTTAAAACATGAAAAAATGGAAAATTTGTATAAGGAAATATTGATTTTGCAATTAGACTGCGCCCCATAAATGTAAAATTCATATTTCCTCGGAAAAATGTACCATTTTAACCATATTTCACTTGTTGTGAAAAGAGGGCAATGTGTATTAAGAAAAAAAAAGGAAAAATATATTCCCCGCCCACCCACCCTATCTTAATTCTGATGATTTTTTTTATTCCCTTAACTCTAAGAGTGAGCTCTGATATTTTGAAGGGTGCGAGAATTCGTAACAGTTCCCGTCTGCTGCACATATTCGAATTTAGCTTTCAGTTTTGTAGCCCTAAATTATAATATAGTTCTATTTCCTTATAAATCTCGTCAATGTTCTTAGAATCAAACTGTTATCTGACCTTGCATTTTGTGTCGTAATATCATTATTATAATTATGAATTATTTGGAATTTATAAGACAAATATTTTTTTTAGTGAAATTTTTTGCTTTTTTTTTGAGGCGGAAAAAATTCTGAAAGTTTGGTTTGTGATATTTTAAAGACTTACTATACAGAATATATGAAAATATTTTGGCTTTTTTTCGTAATATACATAGTAATCTTTGAACAACACGATACTCAAAAACATGTTTTTAATTACTTGTAAAGAAACAAGTATTTTGCAGTTAAGCTCCGCCCTCTTAGCTCACGGCGAATAAAAAAAATCGTCACAATTGAGATCGGGTGGGTGGGCGGGCTTACTTTTTGCCTTTTTGTTTTTAATG